CCTGGAGTCAGGACATTTCTCGCTGTCTTTTCCATGTGGCTCAGAGATCTGCTCTGCAGGCTATTACTGCAGCAAAATAAACTGCAGGCCTGGATATTGAAATAAAAAAGCACAAACCAGGACACCCTTACTTTATCACCCAGCGCCAAATGTTTTTCTTGCACCCACTCACATGAAGAAAACAGTATCAAGGACACTTCTGAAGTAGGCAGCACGTCTCACAGCTGCTCGATCGGCAATTTTACCTCTCTCAGACAGTTTGGGTGTTTTCAACCATGGGACTTAATAAAACCCGATTTCCAAAGCAACCCCCTGGAATTGCTTCCGGGAAGAAGGACAGGGAAGAAGGGTGCTGGCTACAAGGAGGTGAATTAGAGACCACAGACCTGTCACCTTCAGCTCCACCACGGCCTCCTCATAATCCGAGTCAAGGTGAACAAAGCAGGTGTAATTCCCGCTGTCGTCCAGTCGGACGTGGAAAATTTTCAAGTCCACGCTGCCCTTGGCGAGGCCGTCCTTGAGCAGCTGGGTGCGCCCTTGGTATTGAAGCATCTGCTCCCCGTACTGGTCCTGGCCCCCCTTGTAGCGATGCACGAAGGGCGAGAACTGCTCCCGAAACCAGATCACCTCCGTGTGCCGCGCGCTCCGCTCTGAGAAGAAGCGACAAGGCAGCACCGCGTCCTCGCCCCTGGTCACGATGATGGGGCCGGGGGGTCCCGTCACGTTCAGCGGCGCTGGGAGAAGAAAATGGGTAAGGAAGGGGAGAGAGTAGCCTGACTGAATTGAGACCTGCTGGTCAAACTAAAACGCCAGAAGGAACAGCACAAGTGGAGGAGCGGGGACACGTGTCCTGGAAAGAGCACAGGGATGATGCTTAGGGATGAGGTCAGGAAGGCCACGGCACACCTGGAGCTAAATCTGGCAAGTGATGTAAAGAATAACATGGGCTTCTACGGGTATGTGAACCTTGTGGGGTCCGACAAGGCCATGTGCAAGGTCCTGCCCCTGGGCCAGGGCAATCCCCGTTCCCAGCACAGGGTGGGGGGATGTCACCGAGAGCAGCCGGGGGGACAAGAACTCGGGGGGTCAGGAAGGCCACGGCACACCTGGAGCTAAATCTGGCAAGTGATGTAAAGAATAACATGGGCTTCTACGGGTATGTGAACCTTGTGGGGTCCGACAAGGCCATGTGCAAGGTCCTGCCCCTGGGCCAGGGCAATCCCCGTTCCCAGCACAGGGTGGGGGGATGTCACCGAGAGCAGCCGGGGGGACAAGAACTCGGGGGGCTGGTGCATGAAAGTCTGGGCAGGAGCCACCAAGGTGCTGGCAGCCCAGAAGGCCGATCGCACTCGGGGCTGCGTTAGAAGAAGCGTGGCCAGACGGGCGAGAGAGGGGATCCTGCCCCTCCGCTCCG